CCCAGTGTCTCACAGTCTGTCTCAGCATTCTACTCTTCACCACACAGGCATCACATATTTATACAGTACAGCCCCTCCTCCTGATGTCCCGCCTTCCACTCCCCATAGGATGGAACTTTCCCTCCAAACCCATGACAGACAGGTAACATCAGTGCTGTTATGTAACAGATGGGTCTTGATGGACAGAAGGAAGGAAGGAAGGAAGGAAGGAAGTGACCTATCCACTGCTACTTGAATCGCTCTACCTTCGGCTCCAAAAAACAGCAGCCCTGCTCCTGGACCAAAAAGCTTCAGCTTGGGCACAGAGCTGGGTCCGGCTGGGTCACCATCTCCAGTGCATCACATGATTGCTGGAAAACCGTTTGCAGTGGACCATGTCACAGGCGGTCCAAAAGGCGAGCTGTTTCTCCCTCTTATCACACCCTCAGTCACCCTTGGGGCTCCATGAGATTTTATTTATTTATTTATTTGATTTATACCCCGCCTATCTGGACTACTCGAGATGTTAACAAGGCAAATTATTTTTGAAAGCTCACTTTCCCAGCTTTGGGGAACAGAGCTTTTTCCTAAGGATCAGATCCCCTCCCGGAGGTGGGTCTAGCGAGCCCTTCCCCTCCTTTCTGACCCACGCACAGAGACGGAACATAGGGGACGAGGGCGTGCCACTGTCACATGTTCAACGGGAGCCGGATGGCGGCCAAGGGATCGAGGGCTATGGTGACCAGTAAGGGGTGACCGATGAACGTGAGCTTCTCTGTGTGTTTAGGGCAAGGATGGGTAAGAAGTGGCCAGACTACCTCAAGCTCCCAGGGGCTCAAATACTAACCCCAAGCACCTCCCAAAACGTTTTTAAAAAATCTACCACCAAAAAGCTCAAGGACAGCTTTCCCCCTTAAAATACATTTTCAAAAGAAAAATGGGGGGGGGCGATTGAGAAGTGGGTACATCTATGGCCCTCAGGCTCCTGAAGTTGTCCATTCCTGACTTAGGACATTTCCGTGGCACCCCCCAGTTATGTGGGCAACTTACCGTACACCTATACACATGTACAGTGGTGCTTCGCTTGACAACGTTAATCCGTTCCAGTGAAATCACTGTAGAGCAAAATTGTCGTCAAGCGGGGAAAAAACCCATTGAAACACATTAAAAAACGGTTAATGCTTTCCATTGGGCTAAATACCTAATCATCCAGCGAAGATCCTCCATAGGTCAGCCATTTTCCAGTGCCTGTACAGTGAAAATTAAGTCCTGAAAACAGTGGGGAGCCATTTTGCACAGCAAGTGGCCATTTTGAAACCCGACAATCAACTGTTTTCTGATCATCGTAAAGCGAAAAATCGGTTCCTGAAGCAGGGAACCTATCATCATAAAGCGAATTTTTCCCATTAAAACATTGTTCTGCGGTCGCAAAAACCTCATCATCAAGCGGATTTGTCGTTTAACGAGGTAATCGCTAAGCGGGGCACCACTGTATATATTTGATTACAAAAGAGAGCACAACATTTGTGCCACTGCTGCATGGTATACTTTTTTAAAAAGAAAGTATATCTGTATGGTTTTATACTGGTGGCAATTCACATGGCTTCCACCACCAGAGAAACTGGAGTAACTATCCCTGGATAAGCACCATGGCCTTGTCCGAGAAACACTGCCAAACAGTGCAGAGCATTCAAACATCCATAGAATGGACTCAGTTCAGCACACGGTAAGGTACAGAGGCCCATTTACCCAGAAGTAAGTCCCAAAGATTCAATAAGACTTATTCTCTTGTGGAACTGGATTGTCCATGTTATCTCAATCTTTCAAAAATCCATGGGGACAGGAAATACAGTGGTGCCGCACTTAACGACGATAATCTGTTCCAGGAAAATCGCCGTTAAGCGAAAACATCATAAAGCGAAAATAAAACCCCCGTTGAAAAGCATTGAAACCCGTTCAATGTGTTCCAATGGGGTAAAAACTCACCGTCCAGTGAAGATCCTCCATACGGCGGCCATTTTCGCTGTCTGTATAGGGAGGAATCTATCCCTAGACACAGTGGGGAGCCATTTTAATTACCCAGCGGCCATTTTGAAACCACCGATCAGCTGTTCTAAAAACATCGTTTTGCAAAGAATCAGGTCCCAAAGCAGGAAACCGATCATCGCTAAGCGAAATTCCCCCATTTAGACCATCGTTTTGCGATTGCAATTGCGATCGCAAAAAGATCATCATAAAGCAGATTTGTTGTAATGCAGGGCAATCGTTAAGCGAGGCACCACTGTATTTTGGCTACTCTTTTATGGGGTCATGGCTTGCATTGAAAGACCATGCCCCGCTCATTCTGCTTATAAACCACACAAGAGATTTCCTTTTGTTTTAAAAAAGCAGTTTATTGTGGATATTTTTGCACCTCCTCCTGGTCCAGTGTACAAATGAAAACAGGTTTTACGCACTGATGTGTTGAGCGTTAAATGTACAATCTGTCCCTGGTTTTAAAATAATAACGGTCATTTTTAGCATTACAGGTGGGGTGAGGGAAAAAAACTTACTAAATCATATTCACAGAATATACATGGCCGTGCAAGGTAAGCAGTCACCAGCTCTAAGCCAGTGGTATAGACACTGTCCCGTTTGCTCTGCTCCTGCTCCTGAAGTGAACCCCAGAATCCGTGTTATCCTCTGCGTAGTCTTCACTTTTCTTTTCCTTTAAACTGTTGATGAATCGCAGGGTGATTTCATCCCATTCCTCAGGAAGGAGAAGCAGGAGGAAACCGAGGCAGATGATGAGGGTCGCCCCCAAGCGGACAACGCTGAAGATCACTTCACGCTTGAGAAGATCGACAGCTTCATGGAGCGGGAGGGAGAAGAAAACATATGAGTTAGAGGACTACACAAAAATGACTCCCCACATTTTGCCGGCACATTTATGAGGCAGGGAGGGACAAAACCTAGACCCTCTTTCAGTAGTTCCTCAGAGTTTGGAGGTCAAATTTAGGGACAGAAGCAAACCTTTCCCCGTCGGCATGTTCTTTGGCAATCACTGGCTGGTGACCGCCATTTTGTTTTCCCTACGAAGCCGGCAGAGACGAGCCAATGTCATCACTCCCTTTTGGTAGGGAGAAAAGGAGCACTGCATGGAGAAGGGCTGTCACATCTGCATCTTTTTGTCCCCCAGAACATCGCTCTAATCTTTGCTATGGGACGATGTAGCATCAGTCAAAGAGGCAATAAGGTGAAAACAAAATGGTGGTTGATAGTGACTGTCTGTTGAGATTAACACAACCCAGTTGGGAGAAGCCACTGTAGCATCTGTGCAACAAGGGGTAGCAGAAGAAATGGTTCCAACATTAATCGAGAAGTTTTAATGCTTAAATGTTCTGCCCAGACCTAACTTGGGGAAAGCTCCAGCTACTACATCGCCTTTGGAAATCCACTGTTCAGACCTAACTTGGGGAAAGCTCCAGCTACATCCCCTTTGGAAATCCACTGTCAACCATTGGCAGATTTTGCCACAATTCCTACGGAATGCTCACAGTTATTCTGACTGCTCAGGCTGCCAGCAACAGCGTATTGTCAAGCAGAACATTATCTGTGCTGAGGTGAGCGGGGTAATGAATTCCCTCACACAGAACTAAAGGTTAAAAAAAACAAAACAGAGGGCTGTGTGTCATGAGCTTCTGGGAAGCCTTTTGAGGCTTGAGGCCCAGAGAATCAAATTCAAAGAAGGAAGGAATGGCGGACGATGACCTGCTGATCTGAAGTAATAAGTCAAACCCTGGTTGTAGTCATGAGACATATCGAACCTTGTCAGGAACAGATTCACTCTCAGCAGCTGCCAAAGGCAATTAGCTTTGCTTCCTCATCAATTTAGCCCCCTGCTTTCTCACAAACCATTGTTCTTCCTAATTACTGTTCTTCGTTCAGAAGCCGTTTTAACTGTGGGTCCGGGACACCATGTAGAATCGGACTAAAGATCTCTCAAAGGGACCCAGAGGGAACGATATTCAGGAGACCCACTCATACCAAAGTGTGTTCATGTGCGTGGAAAAGTTACTTTTTGAGCTACAGCAATCCAGATTCCCTTAGCATGGCCCAGGAGATTCTGAGGGCTGTACTCCAAGAAAATACCTTTTCCCAGATTCTGAGAAATGGAGGGATGAATGGATAGACTGAGAGACGGACAGAGACACGGATGCATGAATAGAGGGAGGGAGACCCTCTATTCATGGCCAACAGTGACAGAACAGGGCCAGATGAGCAAACACCTCTTCGACACCCATTCCGCTTAATCCTGTTAGGAGCCCCTGGGCGACAGAGATCTGGAGATTACAGAGACATAAGGAAAAATGCATTATCTCTACCTGCATTGCCAGGAACACTGAGCACGGTCCCAATGGAGATCAAGATGGGGTATGTCAGCACCACGCCAACATTCACCAAAATATTGAAAGCTACAAAGGAAAAAGAGAAAGAGAATGAGGCATAGGAAAGGTTCTGCCAGCCCAACAGAGTGAGAACTACAAAGGAAAAAGAGAAAGAGAATGAGGCTGTAGGAAAGGTTCTGCCAGACCAACAGAGTGAGAACATGAAAAGAAATACAGTGGTGCCTTGCTTAACGGGCGCCCCGGTTAATGATGAAATCGCATAGAGATTAACTTTGCGATGTTCCCTATTGGAAAAAAATGCTTTGCGATGATCGGTATGCTGTTTCGCTTACCGATCATCGCATAGCGATGATTTTCCAACAGCTGATCGGGGGTTCCAAAATGGCCGTCGGGTAAAAAAAAATGGCCTCCCGTTGTTTTTTGGGGACGGATTCCTCGCTTACCGGGCAGCGAAAATGGCTGCCGTATGGAGGATTTTCATTTAAAGGTGAGTCTGAAGCCCATAGGAACGCATTGAAGGGGTTTCAATGCATTCCTATGGGCTTTTTAATATCGCATAGCGATGAAATCGTTTTGCAGCGATTTTTGCTGCACCGATTATCGTCGCTATGCAAGGCACCACTGTATGTATTTTTTTCAACCAGAGGGAGGTAACCGCTATGGGTCATTTTTCAGATTTGTCCGTAGCCTGAGGGTCAGACGCTCATGGGGGAGGGGCAGTGACCTAAGAGGCTAATTTGCGTATATATTTTATAGTTTGTTTTGATAAAAGTTGATCCAATGAGTTTTTGTTAACTGAAAAATGGGTATAACTTTTAAAAAAAATTGTGTGGAGGGGGAGAAGCTCTCTTCCTCCCTCTAGCGGCCAATTTGTTTTCTCTAAAATGTTAACCATTGGAAGGGCTGCGGGAAGGGGCGGTGGTTGGGCCTTCAAGACATGGCAAATCATTTAATTTCTGAGTTTCAAAATAAATTAAAAACTGAATAAAAGTTGAGAGGCTGGAGGGTGCCGGTGGGCCTATAAGGGTCCAGGACTTGCAGGCGGTATTTTCCCACCTCCGCTCAAAACAAAATGCATGAGAACTGTGAATTACTCTCTGACCCTCCTGTTCCCATTCTCTGTTCATCCGGGATATATTATTGCCATTCGTTGCCATTTCCTTGTCCCTGAAACAGGCCCAACCTGTCTTTATGGTATGTATGTAATTGGTCATCTTTGTCCTCTCCGTACTCCCAAAAATATATTCGTTGCCTATTGTCTGTTGGGTTTCTAACAGCATGTCACCAAGGACTCTAAATGCTAATGCTTTGTTGCATTTCTCTCTTATCTCCTGTCTCCACATCGTGCACATATGTATCAACCATGATGGAGAATACCACGGATCCATGTGGAGGGTAGCAGACTGCCAGGGTTGGGCTTGACAGACAAATGGCCTCATCAAATACACGGCATCTCCTTTCCCCAAAAAAAGTCATCCTGGCCTCTCTTAAAAACCATTTCTCTGAATTCTTCAGCCTGTCCTTGCAATGGGATTTCTCCTATCCTTAATAGCTTTGTTCCTCTTTGTTGGAAGGAGTATGGTATTGTTTTGCTTTATATTGTATTGTCTTATTGTATTGTGCAAACCGCCCAGAGTTTGCACAATAAAATAAAACAATACAATGAATTAATTATATAAATAAATAATTGCAGACACTAGACATAGCATGGTTTCTAGCTCCCTCTAGTGGCCCATTCTGGTCACTTCATCTTTAGAAATACATTTTTCTAAGATTTTTCTTTTAATATTTTTAACATTTTCAGACCATGGAGAAGTGAATCAGCAATACTGATCCAGAGGATAAGGAGGTCCTCTTGTTGTATGTAAGTGTTGCATTAGATCCTCAACATGGAGGAGAGAGACTTCCTTCTCATTGCTTATAAGGAAAGGCATCACTAGGAGAAAAAGGTACAGTGGTGTCTCGGATTAAAATGTTAATTCGTTCCAGCGAAATCGCTGTAGAATGAAAACATCGTAAGACGAAAATTAAAAGCCCATTGAAACACATTGAAACCCCTTCAATGAGTTCCAATGGGCTGGAAACTCAGTGTCCAGGGAAAATCCTCCATAGGGTGGCCATTTTCGCTGCCTGTCTTGCGAGGAATCCGTCCCAGAAAATAGCGGGGAGCCATTTTATTTACCTGGCGACCATTTTGAAACTGCCGATCAGCTGTAGAAAAAATGTCATTTTGCGAAGAATCGGTTCCCGAAGCAGAGAAGTGATCATCACAAAGCAAAACAAGCCCATTTAGATCATTGTTTTGCGATCGCCAAAGCGATTGCTAAAATGTCGTCATAATGCAGTTTCGTCGTAATGCGGGGCAATCGTAATGTGAGGCACCACTGTACATCTTTTAAAAAAGCAAGAGGGATACCTTGAAAGTTCATAGCTACGACAGGGAAAACCTTTGAAGGAGCCATTCAGCAAATGGCTGCTGACGTGTTTTCTGGCCTACATACCTAGCCAAAGTCCTGCAATTCCACACAGATAGCCCCACGGCACAGCTGAAAACGGAGACCAGTGTTCCACCTTCGTAAAATACAGGATGATGGGAGTGAAGGAGAGGAAAATTAAGTTGAAGAAGCCAAGGGTGGAGATGAAGTGGGCAGCTTCCCCAAAGTTGGCGCTTCCAAGGAACATCTTAAATAAAACCTAAGGCAGGAAGAGAAAAGCAAAGGGAGGATGATGTTTGAGTAGGAAGTGGAGGGAAGCCTTCCTGCTTCACACAGAAGCAAAGATCTTAAAGCCTTAATACTAATCCATTCTTCTTAACTCCCGAAAAATATTCAGGACTGTTGTGTTATGATCTTTACAGAGATGTGGCTTGACTCATCCATCCCAGGGGAAGTAATAGAACTACAAGGACGCAGGGTACATCGGGCAGACTGGACGACTGAATCTGGGAAGCGCAGAGGTGGAGGGGGTTTGTGTTTACACAAACGATAATTGGAGCACGGATGTTAAAATAATGGACATTCCCTGTTCTCCTGATTTGGAGTATTTGGCCATGTAATGCCACCCCTTTTACCTGCCTCCTGAGTTTAATGTAGACATCCTTCAGTCTCGAGAGACTATGGTAACATGCTTTGTATGGAGGACTTGGAACAGTGTCTAGTGTGGCTGAAAAGGCCAATTCGAGAGTGACTTTAATACAATCTGTCCCCTGTCCCGCTCCCTGGTTTTGCTTCAACGCTGTATGCGAAGCTCGAGTGTCCTCTCCAGAGCACAAAGCCTGGGTAAAATAATATGGAGGTTAGGCTGTTACCCAAGCCGCAAATCCCCCCCCTCCACATTGCTGAAAGGCAAGAGCCAATACAACTGTTTCCAGCGACATCACAGGAGTTGCCAGAATGACACGAACTGCCTCCGGGACTCCAGCTCTGGATTTTGCCTTGAGGTTAACTCCTGAAGCCTTTTCTATCGGTGGATATAGTCACAAGGCAGTGGAGGTTTGGAATTGGAGTTTTCCTTCTCCTAGATGGGCTGCCTCCCAAGGCTGACGAGCCCCACCTACCCAGCTGTTGTTATAATAACTGCTATATACCTCTTGATGCTAACATAACCACAGCTATGAGTTGTTTATTAACTGCTGTCAGCAAACAGCAGCAAGCCTACCCAGATGGCATGCTGGTGGTAGGAGGTGATTTCAATCAAGCCCATTTAAAGACTGTCCTCCCTAAGTTTTACCAGTATGCAGAATGTCCCACTAGGGGGAAAAATACCTTGGATCAGGTCTGTAGTAACATCCTGCATGGATATAAGACAAAGCCTTTGCCTAGTTTGGGACAGTCAGATCATATATCTCTGTTTTGATTCCATCCTACAGACCTCTTGTTAACAGAATCAGACCATCAACCAGAGAAATACAATTGTGGCCAGCGGGTGCATCTGAGCAGCTTCAAGACTGATGTATTTGCGAAGGCTTTCACGGCCGGGATCTAATGGTTGTTGTGGGTTTTTCGGGCTCTTTGGCCATGTTCTGAATCCACAATACTCCACTCCCAAGCCAACTACACCAGAGCACAGAGTGCTGTCCTCTGAAGATGCCGGGCATAGAGACTGGCGAAACGTTAGGAAGAACAACCTTCAGAACATGGCCAAAGAGCCCGAAAAACCCACAACATCCAGCTTCAAGATTGTTTTAGGAGCACTGAATGGGCACTGTTTAAGGAGGACAATATTGATACTTAGACCTCAACAGTATTGTTTTAGATCAAAAACTGCATCGAGGTTGTTACTACCACCTGACAAGTACGAGTGTTCTCCAATAACAAGCCTTGGCTAAATAGAGAAGTGTGCCTTTTACTAAAAGCCAGAAATGCTGCTTTTCCTCCTGGTGATGTGCTACAGTATAGAGAGGCCAGAGCTAAATTGAAAAAGGGTATTAGGGATGCCAAAACTATGGACAGTCGGAGGATTGAGCCACATCTTGAGAGCTCTGACACTCCTCGGCTATGGCATGGCCTGCGACAAATCACGGGGCAAAGTAACAAAAACAGTTTGCTCAGTTATTTTTTTGGCTGAGCAGTCAAATCAATTCTTCAGCCGTTTTGAGGTGGAAACAGGAACCGCCATTATTCCAGCACCAACTATCTATAAGACATCACTGGAATCTACCATCGACAGACAAGCACTACCACTGCAGATTTCAGATGTGAGACATACTTTCTGAAATATTAACGTTCGAAAAGCAGGATGGAATCATGGGACGAGTTGTTAGGGGCTGTGCTGCAGAATTAGCTGGAGTTTTTACGGATATTTTCAATCTATCCTTGTCGCCGTGTTCTGTTTCCACTTGCCTGAAGACATCTATTATAGTGCCAATCCCCAAGCAGTCAGCTGTGGTATCTCTCAATGATTATAGACCAGTAGCTTTAACATCTGTTATTATGAAATGTTTTGAGAGATTGGTGCTGGATTACATTAAGGCTAGTCTTCCACCTTCTTTGGACCCATGGCGATTTGCGTACAGGAGAAATAGATATACTGATGATGCTGTGTTTGTTGTTCTCCATACTATATTGAGTCACTTAGAACAACAGGGAACTTATGCAAGGTTGTTTGTGGATTATAGCTCTGCTTTTAATATCACTCCACCCAATAGGTTGTTAGATTACCTCAGAAGATTTGTGTATGAGTAAAGGACTTTCTGACAGAGAGGCTACAGTCAGTAAGGATGGGATCCCACCATTCTTCTACCCTGGTACTAAGTACAGGGCTGTGTGCTAAGTCCCTTCCTCTATTCCCTGTACACACATGATTACACCCCACTATATAACACCAATGCAATTATTAAATTTGCGGATGATACGACAGTGGTGGGACTCATAAATAAGAACAATGAGTCTGCTTATAGAAAGGAAGTACAAAGATTGATACTATGGTGTAAAGAAAATCATCTCATACTTAACATCAAAAAAACTAAAGAACTCATAATTGATTTTAGGAGGAAGAGAAATATACATTTACCACTGTACATAAACGGTGAGGAAGTGGAGAGAGTTGGTAGATTTAAATTTCTGGGCACTGACATCTCAGAGGACCTCTCATGGACTATAAATGCCAACATGTTAGTGAAGAAGGCACAGAAGAGGCTGTATATTTCCCAAGAATGCTCGGGAAGTGAAATTTATCCCAGCATTTACTTCTGTCCTACTATTCTAGCACCATTGAGAGTGTCCTAACCTATGGCGTTCTGGTACGGTTTGGGAGCAGCTCTGTAGCGGACAAAAAAGCTCTACAGAGAACCATTAAAATTGCCCAGAATATCATCGGGCTCCAGCTACCAACCCTGGATGACATCTTCACATCCCGCTGTCTGAGGAAGTCACACAACAGACTTTCCCCAAACTGTTCACAACTTTTTTGAACTGTTGCCGTCTGGCAGAAGATACAGAACGATTAAGACTCGGACCACACGTTTTCTGAATAGTTTTTATCCCAAGCTATAATTGCACTTAATATGAATTTAAAGACCACCAGTAGTGAACAGTTGGACAGTGTTACTTAGCCTGCAGTGTAGATGTTTGTATTTTTAGTTGGGGATTTTTAGTTGCAGGGAGGGTTTGAGGATTTTTTTAAAAAATGTGTGTGCATGAGGGTCTGGTCTCTGGATGTCTGTGTGAATTTCGTTGTATGTGTATACTATGTATATACTTACAATGACAATAAATTGATTTGATTTGATTTCATTTGAGTCTAAAAAGATTTTAATGCCTTAATTCTAATCCATTCTTGCTAAACTCCAGCTTTCCATACGAGAAGTTTCCCTTTTAAACCGTACAAATAATCAGCTTTTTGCATTTCCTTCCGGTCTTGTGGGGTGACCCTTTCTCGAACCAACTCAAAAACACATGAGAAAAGAAAATGAGGTGAACTCTTCGATGTTTATCTTGCTACCATGGAATAATGAAGTTTTCATTAAGACTCGAAATAGGAATGCCTTGATGGTCGTAAACCAATTATCTCGGCTGTAACTTTCTCCCGACGCACCCGGCTCAGAATGCAAATTAGGTCTTCAACGAGAGGAGAAGATGGCGTTTCACGCAGAACTTGATTTGCCTGTGAGCAGGTTTCTGTATGTTTGTAAAACACGTAGGAAAACACAGCAGCCTACCTTATAGAGCGCCGAGGCCGACGCAGATCCAACAGCATACGCGACGCCGATAATTGAATCGCCATGGAAGCCGTCTGCATAGGCCATCATCACAATCCCAGTAATGGCCATTATTGCTGCTACTATCTGTGTAATCCAGAAGAAAATAAATTTGTAGTGACTTTATTACCTGGAACGAGACGTGGTTGATGAGACTGAGTGGCGTGGACGCACCGAACGTTTTCCTATTAAAATAGTGATTTCGGGCACTGAATGGGAAGTTAGCCCCATAATGGAAGTGTGAGCTATAAGAAGGGTTGGCATAAGTCAGAATGGACATGACAGCGCTTGATTAGGAAGAAGAATTAAAAACCTATGTCACAACAGGAGGTCTTTGTAGTTAAGCAGCTTCTTTCTCATAAAATTCACTTTGGGTACAGTACATTTCTTATGATTATTGTTAGATTTAAAATCTATTTGTGCAAAACTGCGCCAAGTTTGCATTAAGTCTTGTCCACATCAAGGTCTGTAAGGAACTCTCTCTCTCTTTTTCTTTCTTTCTTTCTTTCTTTCTTTCTTTCTTTCTTTCTTTCTTTCTTTCTTTCTTTCTTTCTTTCTTTCTTTCTTTCCGGGGCTGATAGCTTCTTCTGGAACACAGACAGAGTTGATAATGCAAGACTCCTGATAATCTTTCAGGCTTCGGGCATCCATGATCATCAACTTGAGGCTTTTGTCCATCATCATTGTAAATAATTTCTCTGCTGTGATAGATCCTTGTAAGAGAAAAAGAGAGAGAAAGAGAGAGAGAGAGAGAGAGAGAGAGAGACAGAGAGAGAGAGGAAAACCCAAAACTTCAGTAATGACTCTGTTGTACTACTAAACTATCAGATTTTACGGATAACCTTACTTCTATGTTATTTTATCGTAAAACATTTTTACAATATTTTAATGATCCAGCATAGGTACCAGCCCACTCTACTTTCAGCCAACGTTATGGACACTGTCGGTAGAATACAATATCTGGGGAGTGAGAGAACAAGGTTCACAAATTGCCTCCCAAATCTGTTAGTTCCGATATAATCTCAACAACTGACTACTGCCATGCTCTCCACATGGGGCTTCCTATCAAGATGGGATGGAAGCTTCAGCAGGTCCAGAATACAGCAGCTGGGTCCATTTTTAACACCTAAAGATGAACCATAAAGAACGGGAGCAACGTTATAATTGGTTCGTTTGAAATGTGGTGCTGGAGGAGAGTTCCTTGACCACCAGAAAGAATAACAAGGGGGTCCTATTGTAGAAGGGAGCAACGTTATAATTGGTTCGTTTGAAATGTGGTGCCAGAGGAGAGTTCCTCGACCATCAGAAAGAGTAACAAGGGGGTCCTATTGTAGATCAAAGGACTCTCTCTAGCCAGATGTTATACTTTGGGCACATCATCTGAAGACGAAACTTGATGGGAAAAGACAACAATACTAGGAAAAGTTGAAGTTAGCAGGAAAGGAGGACAATTTATAATTGGTTCGTTTGAAATGTGGTGCCAGAGGAGAGTTCCTCGACCATCAGAAAGAGTAACAAGGGGGTCCTATTGTAGATCAAAGGACTCTCTCTAGCCAGATGTTATACTTTGGGCACATCATCTGAAGACGAAACTTGATGGGAAAAGACAACAATACTAGGAAAAGTTGAAGTTAGCAGGAAAGGAGGACAATCCAACATGAGATGCATTGACACCATAAAGGAAGCCACCCATTTGAGAGTTTAAAAGAGTTGAGCGGGACTGCTAAGGACAGAATACTTTGGAAGTCACTCCTTCATAGAGCTGTCACGAGTCGGAGGCACATCACAACCTGACAAGAGTAGATCCACTGACTTGAATGAGATTTTTGTACATGTTGACTAGTCCTTCAGCAATCGAGTCAGTGGGTCTGCTCTTGAGTTAAGCCCAGCGATAGGATTCTGCTTCATTTCAGTGTGCGCTTCCATGGATTAAACCCACATCCCGCTGAAGGCGCAGAAAACGACACTTCAAAGTGACACCATTAATGAACTACGAGGATGCTGACGACATGAACATCCTGGCCAGAGCCAGGGGTAATTAAACTGTAGGTCCGTTAGGCCTAGTTTTGTACTGCCGGCTAGCTCGGTGATTTCAGTCTCTGGATGTGGAGCCTGAAGTTGGGAGTTTGATTCCCTCACCAGGCCTCCTTGAAAAGGGGATGATCTTGTCGATCCATAGGGCCCCTTCCAGCCCTGCAGTTCTAAGAAAATGATGATGATGGCAAAAGTTGTCTTCGAAGGCCTTGTTTTCTTCTCCGCGACCCTCTGATTCTATCATAGAAGTAACCTTCCAGGGACGATGGAAATAGTGTCAAATAACACGAGGAACTTAGAACGTGAGAAGCGAAACCAAGCAGTGGGTAGCAGAACTGGAGCAACAGCTTTACGGATCTCTCTCTGTGTTTTTTTTCTCTCCACTGCAGTTCCACACCAGAGGCCACATCGACTCTATAAAAATAACCTGACATGACCTCTCCATGCCATCAATTAAAATATGTCCTCACCGATTAAAGGGGGCCTCCATTGATTAATTAGCCAACGCCTTTGTTGATTCATCCACTGATTAAGCCGATCCAAGCTGGCCGTCTGGCTATTTATCTCCCGATCCCTTTTCTGTCCAATTCACTTTGCTCTTTAATGGGCTACGGCTGACATCAATTAGAGGAGGGAGACATGGAGGGGTGGGGTGGGGGGGCGGACAGCTTCCACAGTGAGCTGATGGACGTGGACAACAGCCGCTGCTTGCGCCGTAGTTCGGAATGACGGGCCAGGCTTGCCCGAGGAGAAGAGAGTGGGCGACGTGCACCCCACAGGGTCCAACGGCTGATCTACCCCACCCATGGCAATCTCCTGCCCCACAAAACAAATTTACCCCCAAAGCCTTCCTTGTCATCTAAGGGACATTTGGGGACAACCGGTCAAGTTCCTGGGGGGCCACCAGGCTATTTTATTGTCTGGGTGTTTTGTTTCCCCCCCAAAAGTAAGAAAGCAGCTGAACGTTATGGACAAACCTGGTGAAACAGACCCCTTGTTCGCTATATGTGAAGGAAACTTCTTGGGATGTGTTTTTTTTTAAATGGGGGTGGGGGCTCACATGGGTGGTCTTTTTAACTCTTCAGTGGAAGATCACTAGGGATCTCCAGGGAAGATGATGAAAGAAGCCTGCCCCGACCCTAGGAAAGCCATAGGTATCCGTCAAACTGGGCAAAACTGGACCAGATGGTGGACGGGTTGGGTTTAGATTCAGGTAGCTTTCCAAGCGCCTGTGTTTTTTCACCACTGATGAAGATGGTCCTGAGGACCATCATGTCCTGAGACAGGGAGAACTTAATCTTGGCTGTCCTTCCAATACTTATCCCTCCAACAAGCACTGGTTGGTTGACGTTGCACCTGCCTTTCCACCCAAGAGAGTTCAAGGCCGCTAAGAGCCTTAAAACAAAACATAAAGCGACACTCAACAATTGTTTCTGGAAACAGGCGTCTCCTCTTAAGCCTTGGGCAGAATGTCGGAACAGGCAGGAGGTGGGGAAGAGGTGGACGGATCCAAATCAGCTGGCCATGCCATTTGGAAAAGTATGAAACCCGTCAGGATCCTACACCCTACACCTGTCTTCCAGGAGTCTTTGGGTCATGATAGGGGAACCCCTTAGGCCAGCATCCTCTGAAGAACCAAAGGCTCACCAGGGTGGATGCCTCCCTCGCCCTGCGGCCCATCATTGGGAACGTAGCAGGTAAGAAGGAACAGAGAGGCAATGGAGTGCTGAGCTCCCAGAACAGCTGCTCTTTCTTTAAAGCAGGATGGGAATCCTTTAGCTTGCAGAGGACATGTGGCCCCTTCTTTCCTTATAGAATTATCTCTCTTAGTAAAGGGTTAAAAGCCCACAATGGAGAAGTTGGGGGGGCAGAGAGTTATAAAGAGCATCAAGAAGCAATGTGCCTACGGTACCTTTAAGTCTAATATCTGACTTTTAACCTCTGGTGAAGGACCGGACTAAACATCTGAATTGAGAGAATGGATTTCTTGCCACATTACAACTTAAAGGAGCCTCGTGGCGTAGTGGTTAAACTGCGGCACTGCAGCCAAAACCCTGCTCGCAATCCGTGTTCAATCCTAGGTAGCCAGGTTCACTCAGCCTTCCATCCTTTCGAGGTCATTAAATTGAGTACCTAGCTCGCTGGGGGCGGGGCGGGGAAGCAATGTTTAATAATTAAATTGCAAACTGCCAAGAGAGTGCTTTAAGGACTATGGGGCAGTATATAAGCAGCACACTTTGCTTTAAAAAACAACAACCCTGTTGCATGATATAATTGAGCAATAACAGCTGTGCATGCCATGGGAGGGAGACACTTTGCCAGCTTTGCCCAGTGCTACAGCTGCACCACAGGGAGCACAACTGGTGCCGTGATGGGCTGTGTGACCAACAACACACACGTTGCAGAAATGGTGCTGTTACGCAGGTGGCATTTTGCAAGAGGCTCTGGGCCTCCCAGCCTTTGATGGCTTACCAACCTGTTTGTGTTATCAGCTACAGTTCTGTGAACAGCAAGGGTTAACAATGAAATAATCACTCTCCCTATTATCGGCATTTCATTTCCCTCTGACCTCACTATTTACAATCCCATCCCCAACCACGAGTACTATATATATATTGTTAACCCTTTTATAGATAGATAGATAGATAGATAGATAGATAGAGAGAGAGAGAGAGAGAGAGAGAGAGAGAGAGAGAGAGAGAGATCTATATATATCTCCCCAACAGAGAGAGAGAGAGAGAAAGAGAGAGATCTATATATATCTCCCCAATCACGAGCACCACACACACACATGCACACACACACACACTTGCTCCATAGTGCTTAAAGCTCTCTCTTGGCAGTTTATAATTTAATTATTACACATTGCTTCCCCGCCCCACCCCCAGCGAGCTGGATACTCAGTTTAATGACCTCGAAAGGATGGAGTGCTGAGTGAGCCTTGAGCTGGCTACCTGGGACTGTTACAGTCTATGTAATTTGTTGCTCTTTAAGGTGCCTTGTTCTTTATTTTGTGAGTCATTCCTGCCTGATAGCTTTCCGGATGAGTAATAATGGCATATTTCACAATGGGGTGGGGGAAACAGCTTCTCCCTCATTTCCACCTTATGACAGCTCGTGCTCTGAGTTTCGGCATGGAAATTTAGGCTGTGAACATTCCTATACGTCCTGAAGATACGTTTTCCCCCCGCTCTGTAAAACTAGGTTTACTGATTTAGACCAAATTCACTTGGAGGCCAGTGTGTTAAAAACTGCAGCGCTGCTTTGATTCCCATATTATTCCTATGAGGAAATAACTTTTTTTCCTTTTCCTTGAAGTACCGCCACCAGGTAATGTATACAGACAGGCAATGGATTCCTCATATATTCTCGCTTCAATGCCTGGGAATACATCCACACTGCAGAGTAATGTCAGTTTGATTCCACTTGCAACTGCCATGGCTCCATCCCAAGGAATTCTGGGATTTGTAGTTTGGGGAGGGGCTTAGAATTTTATGCAGTAAATTCAGGGGAACGGACTAAAAACCTTTAGTAGGGAATTCCAAGGACTTCCAAAACTACCAGATGGGCCCATGGCCGTTCACATATTCTCACTGCCAAGACAGAGAATAAGCACATTTCGGTAGGGGGATTCTGGGGGTTGTAGTCCAAAACAATAATGTTTCCTAGCACTGGGCGTAGAAAAATTCCTGTTAAGGACCACAGCTCTCCCCATGTCACAGGACATGCTTTATTTAGCGTTCTAGCCCAAAATGTCACCATAGTGACCCCACAGCGCCGGAAGGAGCTGCCTTGTGCAGTCTATTTAAGCCACATTCGTGGGAGCAAACGCTGAGGATCCCACCGGTCTCCTTTCGCCTATTGGATCGCTTTTGGGTTTCAACGGCCCTTGCCTCAGATTCTGGCGCTACCACCATTATGGCTGCTTCGGCCATTTACTGATCTTCTTAATTTTTGCCGTTTTATCCTGCCGTCGGGTTACGCTTCATCCCGTAAGCCGCTTTTGCTCTTAAAAGCGGCTTAGAAATATTTAGACAGAAATGGAAAACATTAGAGTGGAATACATTTTTTCCTGGAAGGAGGCACTTCTCACGACCGCCCTTTTAAGGCGTACCACATACGTAAAATCTTTCCTGCTAGACTCATCACGTTGGGGTCAAACCCTGGGTGGGGTGTTTCGTTGCTGTTGTTTCGACTCACTGTATATTTATTTATTTATTTATTTATTTATTTATTTATTTATTTATTTATTTATTTATTTATTTATTTCATTTATACCCTGCCTATCTAGTCAATTGTGACCAC